ACATTAACAATTAATATAAAGAGTTAACAATGAGTCAGCCGGAGTCATGTCACGGTTTATAATTTAAAGAGATCACGATTGATCAGCGTGTCTTCTCCACCTTCATACTAAGAAACACAATCTTCTCTTATCTCCAATCGAAATTGTGTTTTCTGCGGCTTGATGGCTGATAATCTGATGAATGCTCTTGGTGGTAATGACTTGATCTTGATGGAGGTGCCTCTTGACTTGGTTCCTTAACTTCATATTTCTGGCGCCGTGACCTATCTCCTGCTCTTTTGCCTTTTTGCCTCTTGCTGTGGTCTCGGGTGGAAGATGTGTGTGTATTATACTTATCGTATTGAAACCGGTTAAAGGATGCCATTTGATCTGTGGGTGAAGATGGATCCTGATATTTCTGGGATTCATCTGTTCGTTGTTCAGGATAAAGTGTGCTGTAGTTTTCCTGGTTTGGCTGGCCTTCGTACTTCTCCTCGTGGCTCTCACCTATTTCTTCTTCTTCATGTGGTTCTGAAGGGCTTGAAAAAGACTCATGCTGTCCATGTATAAAGCCTGGATGCTGATGGTTCTCTCTTGGGTGGCTGATAAAGTTGTGACCCGTCAAAGGCTGGAAGCCTCTATGTCCTGACTGCTCAGAGCTTTCAGAACTGCCAGACTCATGCAGTTCTCCATCTGAAAGACAAAGTTGAGTTAGTTCAAAATGTAAAATCAGAAATCAATGTCTGAAGATTCAAGCTTACCATTGGCTCCAACCACAAACTTGGAGTGGAAATGGGGGTTGTCCCCACTGTGACCATGATTGTGATCATGACCATGATGGTCATGATGACTGTGGTTGTGATCATGACCATGATGGTCACGATGATCGTGATGACCATGATGGCCGTGGTGTTTGTAGTGACCGCGCTGATCTCGGTGCGGGAACTCGTCGCGAACACTGTTCTGACGCTTCTTGTTCGGACGGTGGTGATGAACGTCACTGGGGGGACCGCCGTGGTAGTCTTCGTGGTGGTGGTCATCGTGGTGGTGGTGGTCATTATGGTGCACGGGCTGCGGCTCGCCGCCGTGGAGACCTAGTGCTTGAGGCGAGTCATGCGTCGCCTCGCCGTCGACCTGGTGGAAGTGGTGGCCGATGAACTCGGCGTCGTCCCCTCCCAGCTGTCCCTGAAACGTGAGAGCTCTGTGGAAGCCTGGCCGTCGAATGGGTTGCCTCCCGGCTGGGCGCACTGGGCTGGTTGTGAGCAGCGCCTGTGGCCATGTAAGTCGGCAACTTATCCGACACTCTGATAAGGGAAGAAACCAAGTACTGCGAATACCTCGGCCTCAGCACTGCCTCCTCCGTCGGCGTGCTGGCCGCCGTGCTCGATGCTACCGCCCCCGGCGCCGTCTTGTGCGAAACCCTCGCCGCCGGCCTGGGTCTGCTCTGCGTCGCCGTGGTGGTCCTTGTCCTTGTCCTTGTTGACGTACTTGTACACGGTGTGCGTGTGGTGGTGGTTCTTGATGTAGTACGGCACGTGGATGATGATCTTGCGCCTGTCGGGTCGTAGAACGTGGCTAAAGTGACAGCAGTGGCGGGGGTGGGGCGCTCATGCACTGCACTGCGCTGCAGAGCAGGTGCTGTACTTACTGGTGCTTCCCCGAGCCTGCGGGCGCGGGGGCTCCGCCGCCGACCCCCAGCAGCGCGGCCAGGGCGAGCAGGACTGCCAACTGCAACAAGACGCGCGCAGCACGCTTAGTTAGCGCGACACTCCGACGCGTCGCGGTCACACTCTACTTATGAAGTGATTATCGCCTTTTACGAGGCAGTGCGCATTTCGAAAGGTGAGGGAGGCAAATGCAGGCAAGGGGGAAGTTGTAAATTGGGTATCGGAACTCGGCTGGGGCGGGCCCCGTGGGGGGCGGGGACGAAGGGGCGTTAATCGTTCCGTGCCCGTCTCTTGTGTTCACAGCCAGGCCTCCGGAACCGGACCAGATCCAGCCGAGCCTGGCGCAGTCAGTAAGGCAGTGGCGCGGGAAAGAGTTCCGGTATTTGCGCTGCGGGACCGACCCTACCCCGACCCGCTCGCGACACGACACCGCGTCATACCGTTTTAGTTGTGTATTTTACCGGTCTCATTATTTTTCTTAGAGACGCAAAAGATTGAGCGACTCGCAAGAAAAGTGCCGTCCACACTCTAAATGGGCTGGGACATTCCTGTGTCGAAAACGCGCGTTTTTGAACACATCCAGCCAAAGAAATTTCACTCGATTCCTCTTAGTTTAGAGGCAAAATTTGCCTTTGGCTGGATGTGCTCTAAGACGTTCCCGATTTCGACACGAAATCGGTCCTTCGCCGCTAGAGCGGACTCCTATAGCCGACGGCCGCAAACGTGTCCATACTGACGCCGTAAAAACAATGCTTGATTTTTAGACAGCCCCTTAAAGACCATCTCTACCAGAGGGCAAAGTCCCCTCTGCGTCCTCACTCTCTATGTATGTATAACACAGCGGGCCCTCGAGTTTGTGGCTGTCTGCACTGAAAAGAAATCAGACATATTTCTTTAACGTGCTGGCAGTTTAAGAGATGCATGAAAAAGCAGTCCTCGGCCTAGACTCGGTGAATATACGTATGTTACCCGCAAAATGCATACTTTGCATTCGGGCACGGTGCATTCGGGGGAGCGGGAGGAGAAGCCGGGCGCCGCCGCCGCCGGGGGGGGGAATTCCCATGGCTGAGTTTTTCGCGTCCCTCCCGTCCCTTATCATGACGGCTTTCCTTCACACGCGGCCCACCCTTACATCACGCCGCTGCACCGCGCTGCACCGGCACGTGTACACGGTCAGTGATGATGGGCGTGGCGCAGCGGGTGCAGAATGCTCCGCGAGTTAGGGGGGGGGGGAGGGGGAGCTGCAGTTTTCTCCACATCCATTATGCACAGAGTGCAGCGCCTCCTCACACACGCACTCGCCCATACGATTACAATTTTACAACCATCTCTTTTCCCCTGGCACTGCTGCTGCACGCTGCCAATCGGACGAAGGCACCTTGCTATACGTGGTCTCGGATAGACGACGCCAAGGACCCCGTCGTGTGGTCCACCTCCTCGCTTCGAAACCCGTGACGACCCTATGGAATCAGACTTGGCGCAACCCTCTCGTATAACCTCGCCTCGGCAGATTTCTTTGGTTCCGCACAGTTGACTCATCGCGTCGACACACTCTGCAAGTTTTTAGCACCTAATAATAAAAAAAGACCGGAAGTACGGGCGCGTCGGGGAAGCCCGCCCCCCGCCGATGCACCTGCACTGCGAGCTGTTGCAGCAGCAGCAGCGGTCGAGGAGGTGGTGAAAATTGACGAGTGTAGAAAGGAAAAGGGCCCAACTAACTACCCGCGGCTGGGCGTCCGCAGCGCGCATTGTGAGGGGGGACTTGTTGCAGATGACAGCAGAGATGGCGAGCGTGGCGCCGCTTTCGTTTTAGACAGCTGCCGCCCGGCCCGCCCCCGCGGTCCTGCTTGATCTTGATCCTGCGATGGCCTGGCGATGATGGCCCTTCACGGCGTCATTCTGTCGCCGCGCAGACCCTCTTTCTCCCTTTCGCGCACTTTAGTATGCTCGCTCCGGACGAAAGGGAACTTCCGTTTCTGATTGTCACGCCGGAAAAAGGGAAAGGGAACTTGATTCACGCGCGAGAATCGCGAGGATCGCGCGGATCGCGCCATGACAGTCGTCGCTTGTCGCTCCGCGATTCTTATTTTGCTAGTTAAGACCGTTTATTGCTTACATTTACAATAAATGGAGGTATGCTCAAATCGCTTAGAATAAGCGGGAAACTAGAGAAATAAGTACAAATCAGTCGGAATAAGCGTTTTATACCACTAAAACCCCCCGAAAAACCTATATGATAATTATAAGCGGACGGAAATCACCGGGAATCAAGAATTTCGGGAATCATGTGTACACTTCAAAAGAGAGTTATTGCCCCCTCGTTCAAAACCTATACAATTTCTATAAGGTTCAAGTCGTAGTTCAAAGATTATTTTTTGATTTGAGCTTTTTATTGTGATGAACTTTTGAGAGCGCGCGGGTATCTGATGCTGCGTTTGTCGTTTATAGCCTGTCAATTAGCGCGCAAAGTACTTTGCGAGTTCGAGTTAGTGGCGTGGGAGCCGCGGGCCAGGGTGATTGACTGCTGGACGGGAAGCTGGAGGAGGATGGATAGAACGTTGGCCTGCAGCCTCCACCGCGGGATACCTAACTATTAAAGCGTACACCGATTGTCCTTGTTTGTTTTGTTTTTTTTT